AGAAAAGTTTTGATTTACATACATACATACACACTCTTAAATAGAGAGTGAAAGAAAAATGGCAATTCACATTGACTTTTAAACTGAAGAGACATCCAACATCTGCTTCCCTTGCCCAACATCGTAGATTAAAAAGCTTGCACAGTAACTGACAGCAGCTCTAGGCGCTACAGTTCCCTAATACAAATCTAAACCATGCCCGGGAGTATTTCACATCCTTTCTACAAAACCCTTGCTACGCAACACCTCGAAATTGATTAAATATTTGTAAGCTGCTAAAAAAAGAGGCCTAATGAGGTGTAATTAAATCTAAACCCACTAATGAAGTTAAGCCATGAGTGCCATTTCAAGGGCTCCGGAATTTGGGGCGGTGTGTTAGTAAAACACCAGCAGCCTCACAACCTTCCCTTTAGCTTGAAAGGCTTGTTTTTGGCACGAGTGTATCAGTTTATTTGCGCTGGCCCTCTGGCGTTCCAGCCTCAAGGTTGAGGAAACACACAGAGTGTTGATACAGTGCAGAGTGCCAAGACTGAATCCTGCCGAGAAGGGAGCTCGAACTGGGTCGAGTGCTAAAACACTCCAACGCTTCAACTCTGTCAGGAACATCAAGGAAAAAAGGAAAATATTGGTCTTTTAACAATTTCATTTACACAGATTCTGGACGATCCTCTCGTTAATGCCAAAAATCTCTGTCTAACTGTCTATATATCTATCTATCTATCCATCCATTCAAATATTACATCATTTAAATTTTACATATATAACTTTATAATTAAGTAAACATTTTCAATTAATTATCTATAGGAGCTGAGTGGCAGGCTCATGTGGGGGATTGTGGGATTGACAGTAGAGAGGAACAAGCAGTGAGAGCATCCAAACATTTAGAAATACTCAACTTTATGCAAAACTGCTTAAGTCATCTGGATTCAGTCATACGTCTTTTTCAGAAACAGGTACACGCAGAGTGAATTCTGCATCCTGTCAATATGAGTTTACAAATATGCACCAATTGCATCCGACGTGAGGTGTATGACACAGGCCTGATTATCATCTTGTTCGTTTCTGAACATAACAGCAGCTATAATGAAACAGGAATAAAGTAAACAACAGTAAATTAGTTGGAGCACCCATAGCATTATACAGTTAGTGCACAATTGAAGACATACATGACTCTGGCCAATTAAAAGAATGTGACGATGGAGAGAATAATGATATCTTCCTTGCGCACATCTAAGGCCCAATTACCCCCCATTACAGAGGGCAGAAACACAAGCCCTCAGGGCGCTGACCTGCGAGAACTACCCATTTAAACAAAAACTTTTGCAGTGATTTCATTAATTACATTGGAAAGATCCACTCCCGCGAACCAAAGTGAAAGCCAGCCGTCCATGTAATCTCTTAAGACTATGAAAATGTGCCGGCGTGGAAGGAATGCTGATTTGACATTCCGGTTGGCATACAGCAGTAGCCTGTTTAACTGATGAGCTCAGGAGACATGAACACAGCCAGGACTCGGCTGCTCTCAGGACTGTGCCAGCTGACCTAGTGAGGAAAAAACTCAATTAATGGCCTCCTAAAGTTGTTGTTTTTTTTTCTCCCGAGTTCTGCAACTTGCACTCCGTAGAGAGAAATTTTCACAGGCCGACCACCGTCTCCCAAGGAAAAGGACAAGCACAGCAGAAAAACTGCAGTCTAGCCTTGCAACCAGTCATACAGCTCACCTTTTTTAAAAATAGACTGCTGGAAAAAAATAAGTTAGTGCACTTGAGGGCCAATTCAAAGAATTGCACCTGAATTCAAGGTTCCTGTGCATGGAAGAAGTGCTAAAACAAAGGCAACACGAACCGACACAAATCATACTGCTGTATAATTTAACATGGTTTCCTTACAGCGCACTGCTTCAGCAGCAAAGCCACAAGACATTGCTTGTAAAATTTTAAATAGTGCAAAAAATAAAGTAACACATAAAACAATGTGGCAAGGCAGTGGACAGAAGACTATCAATCTTTCTTTCTCCTTGTTGGTTTAATAGAGGTTTTAAAGTCATTGGGAGGGCTGTAAAAAATACTGTCTATTTTATAGGGTATGTGGAAAATAATGTGTTTTTTTAACCTTAAACCACATAAACACATTTCATTACACCAAATACACAAAATAATGTTCTTTTTAGCATCATCATATGACCCCTTTAAAAAAGATGAACAAAGGCAAATAGTTATTGCCATCCTTTTAATAGCAATTCATGACCTTTTCGTTATAAACAAGGGTCGAGGTTTATTTTTTTTTATGTATGAACTGTGCTCAGAATCAAGAAAACCAGCTTCGGGTTTTCTAGCTAACCAAGTTTTATCACACCCATTTTTATATACAAACACTATATTTATCAATTAAATTCTCTGCATGTTACATACAGTACTATTAATGTTTTCCATTGAAATAGTACAGAAAAATAAAATATAAATAAAAAATAAAAAAATATTTTCTCCATATGACCCCCCCTTTAATATTTAGTTTTTTTAGGAAACCGCCAGAGCCAAACAGATCACATTAATTTCAGCTTGAGAGATTTCCACACACACCAATCGCTGACAGCTTAGCACAGACAGAGATAAGATGGTCAGATGCTTTAATGTCTTCATCTCAGGAGAAGAAAAGATGCTATTTGTCAGAAGTTCAGGACAGCGGGGTTTGAGACATATTGCCTGTCTTAATCAAGAATGGGAGAAAGCGCATGAGAAAAATGGCTTCAATTTTGGGACTCTGCCAGTGGAGAGTCAGTTAAAAGCCAGTGGTAATAAATGCTCTCACCTTGTGATTACTTTCTTTCCCTGCCTTTCCTCTCTCTGCAGCTCCTCTAGTAGCTCAAGTGCTGGGCAGTGTGCTCAAACAAGCTGCGAGCTCTCAAACCCGGTGTTTTTTAGCACCCTGTTGACAAGCTGGCGGCAAAAGGAGCTGTAAATTGTTTGGGTCAGACGGGGCCTCTGAAATGAGAATTTCTTATAGGCTGGCTATAAGGCTTAGCCACAGGTAAAGGACAAAGAGCCTTTAGGAAATATATTTATCACCACATGACCATGGAATTTGATGATGTCACCATAACAAGGCACAGTAAATTTGTGCTGTTTAAATTACAGTAATTAAGACTGGGGAAAAAAAATCAATCAAAGTCGCACTTACAAAATGGAAACTGAATTTTATGAAAACTTCTACAACAATTAAATGTAGTAAGTTACATCTATATATATATATATATATTTCTGTTTGATATTCTATTTTATTAAAGTCAGTGCTACCTGCTGTGCTTTCTTTGTTCTTATTTTTCAAAAGCATATAAAGGTGGACTAATGTAGTGATTAAATATTTTGCTGTCATTAACACAACCACATATGGAATCATTTGGTTATGAGGGTTGCCATAGAAACAAATAATTTAAGGATGTGGTCAGAGAAGAATCTCAGGTTGTCAGCTCGTAATTATGCAAATTTTAACACCACATGAATGCAGTATTATTGCAGAGACAATTATGCTGGTGCAACCTAAGGTTAAGCACACAATAGTGATGGATCACGATTCCCGATTGAAGATCAAACCAACAATTTTCCTTAAATCTTGAGACCTAAGGCTGTCTTTAGACTAGTTTCATGATGCTTCCTTGACTTGTGAGTAATTACATACACTACCGTTCAAAGGTTTGGGGTCGGTAAGATTTTTGAAATGTTTTTGAAAGTCTCTTATGCTTAACAAGGTTGCATTTATTTAATAAAAATACAGTAAATCATTAATGTTTTGAAATATTACTGCAATTTAAAATGACTTTTCTATTTGTATATACAGTATCTTTGTATATATTTTAAAATGTAATTTATTCCTCTGAAAGTTCAATCTTTACTGTCACTTTTGATCAATTTAATGTGTACTTTCTTAAAAAAAAAACATGAATTTAATCTTTAAACATGACTATAAATATGACTTTCCAAAACAGCAGCGTAAATGAAAATTATTAAATATTCTTAAGTGAATAATAATAAAAAAACATGAATTTATTGAAATATATGCCTTCATTATATTTAACTAAATATTTTTTTAGTTTTTACATAAATATATACTTGACTACAATGATTATTTGGTTGAAATGATCTGATAAAAAAATGACTCAAGTTATTTGCAAAAATATTCAAAAATACAAGAAATATTGACACAAGGCTTAAAAATAGTCAAAAATAAATATCCAGGTCCAGCCCTACACCCCACCATCCATAAAGCAAGAGAGGTCTAAAACTGCAATATGTAGTGACTGCAACAGCAAAAATCCTCCATAAATGGATACCATCATCCAAAATTACGTCCTAAATTGTGACCAAGCATCTCTGTAGACATGGGAACAAGGGTTTGCCACATCAGAAGAAGTGGGAAAGGAAAGCTGTAAAAACATATTTGAGGTTTTCTAAGTAAAGCTTGTGGTTTGGGTTGTTTGCTGTATGCTCTGCTCACGGAAGATGTTTGTAACCTCAAACCCACATTCGTAACAGCGCTCCAAGACATCATCATCTCATCATCTACACATCATCAAAACTGTCAGCACTGACTGCGCTGCTGACTCTAATTAGGTTGTTGAAAGTAAAATACTTCATCAATAAATAGACCTAAGTCAGGGTAGACGCCATAATTAATTTGATGAAAATTAAGCTGTGAGGAGTTGTCATGTGCCATGATCCCCAGGTCATGTTGTATTTTCACAACCCATTTTTTTTGTAGTTCTTTGTTCATTGGAAAACATTTGGAAGACTGAATCAGGGACAAGTGAACCCAAAACCAGTCTAATTATTCAGTACTTCCCTAAGACCAATTAGTCAAGTAGTTGTTTTCGAAAATATGCAGCTTTCGCATTACTATAAGGTCCATTGCCACATGTGTAAATGGTGAATATCAGAAGTACCTTTATCCCACCCACACCACCACTGCTCAGTATTTTGCTGTCGCTGGAAGTCTCGGTAAGAACCCAGCCCATCCACATTTGTTTCGTCCTAGATTAGGAATCGCCTTCTTTAAGATTACAGATCTGGCCCAGCCGGTCGGTCCCTTTAGATCCCGTCAAACAATCAGTTGGCTGATCAGAGTAAATTAGTTTTGTAAAGCAGAGGCGAGAGGCTAAGGCTCATGATCATGAGCAGAAAAGAGAGTTTCGAGGGATCAAACTTAATTATCACACTGCTTTCATGCCAGAGCCACCAACAATGTTGATTAAGACATTAATAAACACTTCTCCAAAGGCAAGACCGGCGAGAATTCAGGAGCGGCCTCTTTGTCTCTTTTCATCTGTAAAGAAAAATAGCGGCAAAAGAGCAGCAACTTTGAACAGAGCTTTTGAACAGAGTAATTATACACCGAGCCATTACATTTTGAAAAGCCTGCTATTTGATTCGCAACAAGGGCAAAGCAGAATTTGTCTCTCACATCACTGATGCAATCTTACATGCCTTATTTGCATTTGACCTAAAGAAAGTTTCTTTAGAATTTGGTCCAAAACAACTTGCTAAACAGCAAGCAATGTGTCTGGTGCTATAATATAGGGTGTCAATATAAAACAGTAAACAATAGATTTACATTTAGAGTATTATTAGTCGAACTGTTGCTACTAGTTGACAGATAACATGAGAGTCCTTGTGACATGTTTCTGCGACAGCTCTAGGCTCTGAAAACAGCTAAAGGAAGGCTCTCTTTCTTCTGAGGAACACAAAAGGAGAAATTATAAAGACTGGTGGTTACTTATTCAAAAAAAAAAAGAGAAAAATAAGCTATTGTATGCTAAATATGTTGGGTTGTTTTTGAAATACACTTGAAATATGTCTTACAGATAGCTAAATCTGCTAAATGTCTTAGCTAGATTTAAATCCAGAGGATTTATATCATTGTTATATAATCATTATATCGCCCAGCCCTACAATTTGCTCTGTATTAAAACATTAGGGCATTGTAAACATACCAGTATGACTTTGTAAAGATATTTCGAAACGATGCGTTTTGTGAAGAGCGCTATACAAATAAATATGACTTGACATTCAACACTCCATAATATAATAGACACAGTCTCTAGAAGCCGCTATCCACCTTATCCTCCATAACATGATTATTTGTTTGAGTCAAAGCTCAAGGAGAGGAAGCTGACTGGTGCAGCAAGAAATTAATAAAAACCTCTTGACCGCAGCTCATATGCAGCCATGTCACACCACTATGACGTTTCATATGAGAGTACGGAATTAATGAAATGTCAGAGCTGCACTGCGGTATTATGTTCAAAGGTGAATGTGCTCTGGATGTGGCAGAAATCAAAGGGAAATTATGGATTAAGGATTTAAGGACTCTCTTCTTTGGCCTGCCCTTGGAGCCCAGTATGATTGTTCCTCCCTGCTGGGTTTTAAATAGAGCTAGCAAAGTTTGCTTCCACTCCATCTCTTACATCTCACCTACACTTTGCTTAGTATTCAACACCCTCAGCCTTCACCACATAGCATTGTGTGTGTTTCTGTGCATAGGAGAGAGTGCACACATATTGAAAAGTGAAATCAAAGTGCTGACTAATCACCAGCTCGCAGTCAAATATGTTTGCCCTCACAGAAACCATTCACTCGAGACGTCACCCTTCCTCTTTCCTTTGAACCCTCCTAGCTTCCTTTATCTCTCCCTCATTCATCCAAACCCACACTCTATCTTTCACCTTCACGCACGGCGCGCAGAGAGAGTGGACAGAGCGCTCTATGTGCTCCTCTGGCAAATTGAGCCTGACTGTTGTCCCCACCCTGCATGTGGAGTGGGAAGTTGATGGAAAGCTTTGATAGTATACACGCGGGCTGTCAAACGGCGCTCCTCATACTGCTTCAGTCACCCGTGAGGAGGAATTTCTTTTCCAATGACAGATCAAGGGTATAATTCCACACAGGTAGGTAACAAAAGCTCTTACCAACGTGAAAGAAGCCAGTCATGCACATCAACCTGGGTCTGCTGTCACCCAACACCTACAGTCTAATGAGAAAGCATGTATTGTCCCTGAAATCTAAAAGGCCCGAAATGCATGCATCAAATTGTCTAAATACTAGGAATGAATCACAATAGTTGACTAGTGAGGTTGACTGGATTATCTAGGTGTGTATATACACACACACACACACCCACAAAAACAGACTCTTTAATATTAATATTATGAAATATTTATTTAAAGAAGGGTCAGAGCAGTATACTTTAAGTTCTGGAGGACATACTAAGTACTAGAATATTATACATTTTCTGAATTAAATCTAGGGTGTACTCATTTCTGCAATCCTTCATTTAAACAAAATTGGCTAATTTACTTATCTTACAGAAAATATTAGCATATATTTTGTTGTTTTTATTAAGTATATGTTTAATATGTTTCAATTTTGCCATCTTCCCATGAATTATATTAATTATATTAGTGATCATTAAGAAAATACATCTTTTATATTTATTCAGAGGGGGTGTACTCATTTATGCTGTGCACTGTAACTATATATCCTTAATATATATGTGTATGTATATATATATATATATATATATACACACACACACACACACACAGTATATATTATTTAAAGTAAATCAAAAATCTAAACAAAATAAATAAAAAATTAAATCAAAAGCATGCTGAGAATGTGCTTTGCAATTAAATATTTCATGGTAAAATTCATAAATTTCAATGCATCTTTGCAACAGCCATATACATTCAGACCAATGTATTGGGCCAGTGTGTTGCATCTTTGCTGTTTCACCGTGAGCGTAGTGTCTTTAAGACAGCGTGTCAAGTTAAAAATAGTCCAAACCTTCAAAACCCCTGCAATCTGCAATCTGTTCCATTCTGTCACTGTTTAGCTGTTTTTGAACCCAAGAGCGTACCTTATGTCAGTGTCTCCTAAAAAACTGCATCTAATCAGGTCATCAAACCTAAACTTAAAAATGAACCTAAAACCAGAATAATTATTCAAATCATCCTTGTGGCTAGCTGTTCAGACAATTCAGGAAAAATAAGTAGTTTCACACACCCCAACCTATTGCCTGCATACTGTATTTCAGACAAATAAATGATGATCTTTACTTAATATTCTAATGATTTTTGGCATAAAAGAAAAATCGATCATTTTGACCCATACAATGTATTTTTGGCTATTGCTACAAATATACCCCAGCGACTTAAGACTGGTTTTGTTGTCCAGGGTCACATATGAAGACCTTGATTGTTAAAGCTGTGTGCTGCACAAAATGTACAGATGAAACATGGTACTCACAATTCTGTTTTGTGGCTGGAGCATCTCGCCAGAGGGATCTTCATCACTTTGTCATTCAGGCCCACAAAAAGAGTCCTGTCGCCATGGAGAATCTGAGGGCTCAGGATTGGCTCGCGCAGACCAGGAGGGAAGAGCTGCATCTCCTCCAAGTAGCAACCTTGCAGGCTCTTATTTGTGGTTGCCAGAGCCTTAAGAATAGTTCCATACTCTAATAAGTCAGAACAGAAGGCAAAGCATAATTACACAAGGCTGCATAACTAATGCTAACTAATACTATTTCTATAAGGATTTGGTGGTACATTAGTTAGTGTAGAGGTCAAGCAGGGCATTGCAAATATAAACTAGCAAAAAACCTTTCCAAAAAATGCAAACTTCTCACCATGTCATTTTATAGGAAAGTAGACAATAACTGTGAATTACGATGCATGCAGGTACACCCAGCTGGTCTTGAGCAATTACTCTCACAGTGCCAGGCTAATAGAACTTATCTACTGGCTGTTTGTTTCACACACACACACACACACACAGAGAACAAAATGTAAAAGACATTCAGGGGGAATGATGCACCTGGAAGTTAGGGATGGGGTTTGGGGTAGGCAGCCACGTGGAGCGAGGGTTCTCCTGGGAGCGAAAGGGCCCGTTGAAAGCCTGCGTGATAGCGCTGAGGTTGTATGCACAAACTGCAGAGGCTGCAATGCTGTTCCTGGATCACATGAAAGAAAGAAAGATGATTAAAATGTTGGTAATATGAAAACATGCAATATGTATTTATATCTGTCTATAAACATGCAATATCAATATATGGTCTTTGTATATGGAATATAAATGGTATATTATACAATTTTAAATATATTCAAAATGTTCAGTCATTGGTTTTTTAATATTGGGTCTGCAGATAAATGCTATTTAACTTAAAACCCATTACAGAGAATATTATACTTACATGTAATATATAGTAGATTATACTGTATATTAATACATTATTATATATTATATTATTTTACAATATAATAAAATAAAATGTTTATATAAAAGATTTTATGTATTTTATAAACATTTTTAAAGGGGTGGTTCACAGTTTTTTTTCTAGGCTTGATTGTGTTTATGGGGTGCAGTCTAACATGTGTTAATG